CTGTAGTGTAATTCTTCACAGAAAACGGGGACTACTGCTCGATCAGCGTCAGAATTACCCTCCTGCTCGCTTTGTGAGTCATTCTTTGCGAGCTCCGAGAGGAAGATGGATCGTTCTGAACTGTTTACCTTTTCGGCAGCGCTGTGTCTCTTTCCTTTAACATTCAATGAAGAACTCGCAACAATGTTTGCCAAAGCTTCGCTACTTTCCCTTGAATACTGCATAACCATATCCCATTTCTCTTGAGTCTTTCTAAGGAGATCATCATTAAACACTTGACTGGTGGCGTTAATAAGGGAGGTTTTTAGAGAAATTGCCTTCGATTCGACGTTTTCCACCAACGCTTCAATCGGTATCTCACTCATTCCATCTTGAGGCTGGACCCTAGATGTCAATTTTTTCACGGTTGCCTTTAGTTCTTGCACTGTCTGCTCCACATCTTCCACAATACTATGAACTTTCAGCACAATTCTAGCGGTGAGCTTTAAAGTTACCTTGAGGTCCTTGTAGACGGTTTTTATGTCTCGGATAAGACTTATTAATCCTCCCATGGCTTAATAAAACGTTAGAAAAATTTTGTTCTTAACTGATAACGAACCAACCACTTTTGTTCAGTTTTTCCTCTCGTCTTATCCATTCCCTATGAGCGCCCTTTCACTCGTCATGCTTTGTATGAAAAAACATTATGCTTTGTATAACAAGAAAGAAAAGTTATTCACGCGTTTGAATAGTTTGCAGAGAACATTAGGGTGGGACTCGCGTAAACAAGGCTGATCAGTTCGAGATGAAATTGGGTGTGGTTGTAAAAACGGCAGCTGTCGACATTAGCTTCCTTCTAATCCTCATTGGAGGGAAGAAATAGGTTTGACAACTGGGTCCTCCTATATTTTTCTCAACATATTCGTAAATTCCAGAGCGAGGATTTTGAAATGGCTTTCCATTTTGATTTCAAGGTGATTTAAAAGGTCAAATAATTATTTGAAAAGCAACAGGAAAATTTTAATACGTCTATTCATGCATTTCTGTTTGTTTTCTTACAAAATTCAACGTTTCATATTGGATGCTGGTTAAAGAGGCTTAAAAGGCGGATATTTACGCAATGTGTACCGGGATATTGCCATCAGTCATCCTCGATTCCTCGATTTCTTAACACTTGTATCATCAGTATCATCATTGATACGCAAGAGGCTTTTCATCGCACAAATATAAGACTCAAGACTCAACGCGCAATCAAACTTCATAATGGCGAAAATATTCATTTAAACTATTCATTATTTTCACATCAGTTAGTGCCAGTACACAATTACGTCAGCAATTCTATCCTTAGATACATTGACATCACGATGAAACTAGAAAATCGGCTATTTCTTTAATTCTATTTTACCTATTTCAATCTTTGCCCTCCCCGACATTCTCACCACTTTGTTGTTTTTACATTCGAGCAAATATATATTTCTTTGTTTTCGTTGAACACAGCTCTCTATGGCATCACAATGACTCCTAATATCAGTGGTGACACTGAAGTTATTTCTCTCAATTATCGTAACAATTTTCTGGAAAATCATGATTGTCCTTGAAACTTTATCTCAAGGAGGCTTTTGGAGATTATCATTTGCTTTGTAATTATTTTTGCTTCACTAAGAGGAGGTACATCTCTTATTAAAGAACACAGAGTGGTCAAAGTGCATGGACTTGCCTGTTACCTAAGTAGCTAAAATAGCTGAAATGTATCGTGTAGTCGAACAAGCAAAATTTAAGAGCCACACAAAGTCATGATGAGCTAAATACAAAACGTGGACATTAACGAATCCAAATAAAAAAAATATGAAAGAAATAGCGGACCACACGCAATTGGTCACTGTGATGTAGCACAATAGTCAGACAAAGGGTGACACTTTCACTATCACTGTAAGCCCACGTCAGCTGGAGGCCATTTCCATTTTAAAAGTCATTTTGAATCAGAGTGGGTTGAACACTCAAAGAGATATACCATATATATGTATGTGCGCTTAGGTACTATTCTCTATTTAACAAATAAGGAGGAAAAATTAAATACTAAGATGCGACGAGACAAAACTTACCAAATGCTGAGGGAAAACACGAAACACCTGCAGAGAAAAGGCTTACATAGAAGCAAAAATTAAACACACTGCTAGAAGGTGGGTGAAACATGAGATAGAAAGGGTGGCGTAATTTACATAAGGCGCGAAATTAATGGTGCATGAACGGCACGTGAAAAAATCAAAAGATCAGTGTAAATTAATGGGTGTGAGACGCACGAAATAGGCGTAAAAAAATTCTTACAAAATACAAATAAAGATACTAATAACTAATTTACCACAGCAATTAAACAATCAAACCCCACCGACCGTGGAGGAAAATCAGGTGTTTGTCTTCAAGAGCCGGGAATTGTTCTTAAATATTCATGAAGCTACAGACCTCTTGGAGAAGCAAGCAGCAAAATCAATAATGTAAAACTTCACTTCACTCCTGGCCTCAGCCGGAGAGAATATTTTCTGACCACAATGAACAATACAACAAACTACATAGAGAAATGAAGCGGTAGAGAGATCGATAGCTACCGTTATAGCGAACAACATTTTACATCTCCGGCCTGATTTTAAAATAATCGTGTCATGAATATTGTAGTCATCTTTTTGGC